ATATATATATATATAGCCAAAGGACATGTATATGATGAGGGGTTTACTAGTCGTGGCCTGCCTGGCAGCCATTGCGCTGCAGGCTAGCGGTAAGTCGAGCCGCCGTTAGGGCCCACACACACTTACACTCCACTCTGTTACAGCCAAGCCGCAGCAGGAGAGGCGCGGCGAGCACTACCAGCTGTACCGGCGCCAGCGCAACGATTACGATCTGCCCGCCGAGGGTCGCCTCAATCCCAGCAAGCTGGCAGCTGTGCTGCACGCGGCGCTCGGAAATGCCAACAATGGAAGTGGCAATGGATCCGATCTGCCCACAAGCACCATCACCACCATTACGCACACTCCAACCACCACTACGGGCACATCGACGACCAGCACGACTCCGTCGGTGCCCACAACGTCAACGGGCCGCAACTACAACGATGACAGCGATGACGACGACTTCGAGGCTGACGACGGGCAGCAGAACTACCAGGCGGCATTCGATGACGATGGCGATGCCAACGAGGAGGACGATGCCAACGATGTGGCCGGATTTGAGGGTCACGCCGTGTACCAGCGCAACCAGGAGGATGCACTGGCGCGCCAGCGCAAGCAGTTCAAGCGCAAGCAGCAGATGCAGATGCGTCGCCGCCAGCAGCAGGCGAAGCAGCGCCGTCGCCAGAAGCGCCGCCAGCAACAGCAGCGCCTGCGTAGGCGCCAGCAGCAGCAGCGCCGCAAGCGCAACAATCGTCGCAACATTCGCTTGATCCAGCGCTTCCTCCAGGCCAACAGGAACAGGAACAGCAGAGGCAACGGCAACAGGAACAGGCGTATCGTGCGCATCCGTACATAGAAACTCCAAGCTAACATGACAACGATCTTTGTGAAAACCATTCTTGACATTATATAGCAAACAATCTATTCGAAGAGTTTCATTTCTTTTGCTGGGTCAAACTTGGGCGAACTTTGCGAGCTCCAAACTCCATAGATGAATAGACCCAGAGCAGCTTTGTAATGCGGACTGAGGCACAAGGCCGTAGCAGCAGCTGTAGCTGCCCTTTGAGTAGATCTCCAAGGTCATCCTGGAGCAGCTAATGAAGACTAAAGCAAAAACGAAAATCTACTCTTAGCCGTAGCTTAGTAGAGTTATTATACTTACAGCTAGAACTTGGGAGCTTGTGAGGCTAAAGTTGAGGTGACCTCCAGAGTCGATGGATCAGAGTCGATCCCATAGTAGTTTCATTATGAGTTATTATACCAATTGGGAGCTTATGAGACTGAAGGAGAAGCCCTTTGAGTTCATCTCCAAGGTCGATGGATCAATTGTTCAATAGTGGCTTTATAATGAGGACTAAAGCAAAAGGGAAACATCTATGCTTAGCCATAGCTTACCAGGGCTATTATACTAGCAGATAGAACATGGGAGCGATTGAGACTGATGGAGAAACCCTTTGAGATGATATCCAAAGTCAATGGATCAATCGTTCTAGAGCAGAGAGTAGAGTTACCCGCAGATGCATCAGACTAACTATCAACAGATTGAAATTTCTGGCCCGAGCCAAAGAGCTCGTGAGACTGTAGCAGAAATCGTTTGAGTTGAATCTTCGTCCTAGAGTAGCGTTAGCCTAGCTAGAGCAAGCAGACACAGAATTTGTCGTCCCACGGAAGTTCTATGGCAAGGACTCTATGGATGTGCTGAATGGGACACATTAAGAGGCTAGAGGTAGGAGAGCTCGAACATATAAGGGATATATGTTTATATAATAAATATATAAATATGAAACAATAGCAGTAAAGATCGATAAAAATTGCTTCGATTTTTGAGTTCAATGATCCTATGTGATCATGCTTGATTGGGACTGGGGATATACTGAAAAACCAGAGCAAAAAGGGCTTTCATTGCAACTAGTCAATGGACGATCGGTGTAGCCACTCAGATATATATATATGGAAAACTTTTTAGATTGATAAACTACTCCAATTACACTAGGCAGACCTACATATTAGACATCAACATACTGAAGCCTGTACACACCTATCAATTACATAGTGCAGAAGCTGTCGAAATACGATTGATTTTTGATAATTCAAACGCATAAATTTGGGAAAAAGTGATGATCGATTTGTTAACTAAGTATTGTGAGAGGCGAGAGTTCGCGTTGACGTCCGCTCCACTAATATTGATTGCGAACTTTGTCGTTGGGTCAATCTGGTTCATTCGCGAATAGAATGTGGTTGATCGGGGCGAGCGGGTATTTTCGCAACAGAGAAAAATTTATGCGAATTTTTGCAAATATGCTAAAATGATAATGAGAACTGTTAGCAGAAGCGCTGATCCAGCTGCTGTTCTTCTTGTTGTTGGCAATTGGAGCTTGGCGTGGGGTATATAACCCTGTCAAGCGATTGACATTGGCACAGTCAAGCAGCAATATTGCCTTAGGCAAGCAGCAAGCAGAGGCAACAGTTCACCAGGATAAGTTCACCACATCAGCGCATCTACACGCACCCATCCCTACATCTTAGCTCGAAGCAATCATCATGAGATTTTTGGGACTTGCACTTCTGTTGCTGTCTGCAGCGGTTTTGGCCAGCGCAGCAGGTGAGTTACCAAAATAAGAGAAAGGGAGAGAGAGAGAGAGAGAGAGAGAGAGCTATGACTTGCTTAATTTCGATTCGCAGTTGGACGCCGCGAGGATGAGGACGAGGTGTTGGGTCAGCGCTACCGGCTGTATAAGCGCAACGCCGACCGCAACGTTGAGGGTCGTTCACTCGCGCAGCTGTTGGCCCTAAAGGGTGGCAGTGGCGGTAGCAGTAACGGCAACTGTGGCCCGGATACTTCGACGACAACAGAGATAATTCCATCACCCTCCACAACTACGGGCAGCTCGACCGAGACAATCACACCATCAGTGACCTCTTCGGCCCGCGGCTACAATGACGACAATGATGAGGCTGCCGACGATCAGTTTGCGGCAAACGATGACGATGATGGTTTCGCCAACGACGAGGACGAGGACGAGGATGTGGCTAACGTCAACGGCCTCAGCCTGTTCCGCCGCGGCAGCAACAGCCGTCCCGGCCAAGTCCTCACCCTCCAGGAGTACGAGATGCGCCGCCAGGCCGAGGAGAACAAGGAGCTGCGCAAACGCATCGAGGTCCTTCGCCGCCAGAACATGCAGAATATTCGCCGTGCTCAGCGCGCCCGCAGGCAGCAACGTCGCCGCAACAAGAATCAGCGTCGTCGCTCCGCCATCAGGAACCGTAATATTCGCCGCCGCCTCCAAAATCGCCACCGCAACAACCGTCGCCGCCTGAGGAGGAACCGTCGTCGCAATTAGATCCCTCACTCAATTGACCAGCCTATGCACGAACCAATTTTTTTGAAATAAATCGACAATAATTGCATATAATACACAAGCTTAACTACCAGACAGAGCGAGAGAGAGAGAGAGAGAGAAAGAGAGAGATGGGGCAGGCAATGAAAAGTGAAGAGAAGACAGCAAAGTCTTTACATATAAGTTAGAGAGGTTAGGGTAAAGCGATCTCAAGAGAGAAGGAGAGAGAGAGAGAGAGAGAGAGAGGGAAAAGAAGAGATGCAAAATCGGTGATCTCTATAAAAGACGACGAATCGAGCGATCGCATAATCGAGTTAGAGTTGCAGAGAAAAAACAAGGATAGAAGGTGAAGAGAAAATGAAAAAGCAATGTCTTTATAAGAGAAAATCGGAGAGGAGGAGAATGAGCTGAGATCTCTATACACAAAGAAAGAGCAAAGAATCGAGCTATTACAGGAGAGTGTTGGAGCTAGGGTCAGGGAGTAAGATATATATATAGAGAGAGACAAAGAGAGAGAGAGAGAGAGAGAGAGAGACAGAGAGAGAAAGAGAGAGAGCGATAAAGAGAGAGAGACCGACAAAGAGAGAGAGAGTGAGAGATAGGGGGAGATAGCAAAAGAGATAGAGAGGGAAAGGAAATTTCAAGTAAGCAAGTCTGAAAATTAGAGATGAGAAGAGCGATCAAAAAAGAAATGAAAGAAAAGAGAGAAACAAAGTGAGAGAGCGAGGACTAGGAATAGAGTTAGACAATGAGGAACAGATTGAGACATCGAATGAAGTTAGTATATAAACAAAAAAGACGGCGACGATGATAATGAAAAGTGGAAGAGAAACAAAAATTAGAGCTCATGTTAGTTGGCGTCAAGTTAAATCATTGTTTCTTTTGGTTGTGATCGAGTTAACAAGTGCATTTCATAAAGAAAATAAGAGAGATAGTGAGAGTAAGAAAGGGGGAGAGAGAGAGGGAACTTTTCATATCTGCATTGAGCAGCTCTCCAGCTCAACAATTCCATCTCTTGTCTCTAGTCTCTTTGTCAACCTGGGCTTGCGAGGTATTTGTTATCTTATGTTGACTCGATACTATTGAGAATCCATCGGCACTCTCTCTTCCTTTAGCCTATGCCAACTCTCGTTCTTCTGTGAGTAGTGCACTCAAATTGGAAAGTCTTGCAAATATTTGAAGTCGGCCAGGACATTTCATTGTGTCCAAGTGCCTTCAGTCTGTATGCGGCTCCCACGTATTTACTATTTTCCATCGCGAATGGAGCACCCCGTGGTGCAGAGGGCAATCGAACTGGCAGAGGCATGTGGAATTGTAGCTGCCCCGTGGCATTCGGCTCACTAGCGTGCACCCTCAACCCGTTTGCCTCTAATTAGAAACTCAGTTTCGATGCTCGCACAATTTAATTGGTTTTCACTTTTTTAAGCCGTGCCACTGAATCGAGCTGGCTCTAAGCTGCCAGTGCGATGACAGCCGACAATAGAGCTGCCGCCGGGCCATGGCTGGAAAAGAGTAGGGGCTGACGGTGCGGTACGGTGCGGTGCGGTGCGGTGCGGTGCGGTGCGTCGCGGTGTCCAAAGGGCAACGCAATTGTAATTGGGGAGGGCGAAACGCGCATAGAAAGCAGCCAAAGCTGGCAAAGCGACGGCTCAATGCTTGAACGCTCGACTTGGATCGGACCGGGCAGGCCGATAGATGGATGATAAGCAGAACGCGTCGCGTTGATGACGGTGAAGAACTATTTGGCCATTTGCCGCTGGCCATTGGCCATGGCCGTGGCATGCTCAAATAGCTGCAAGCGCTTTTCGACAGGGTCGAAAAATTGAATTCAATTCAATTGTGAATTGTGAACATTTCTGGATAGGCAGAGGCACAAGTACACGCACACACACACGCACGCACACACATAGATATGTGCGGTGCCCTGACCAAATTTACAGTTAGCAATGGATTTTTGGCAATCGGCATTTGCATAAGTATTGATGGCAAGGCGGGTATAAAAGGCATTCAATTTCAGCGATAATGTATCAAACATTGATTACCAATCAGTGCGAGCACACGACTCCCAATTGGGCACTACCTCACACCGCAACTCAAGCCGTTCCTGATCCCGTTCGAAAAGTTCTCAATCGTTGAGTAGTTTCGACAACGATGAAACATCCAGTCGCATCCTTGCTGCTATTGGCCAGCCTGCTCTGCCTGACGGCTCAGGCCGAGAAGCCTTCGCATGTGGTGAAGGCTCGCCGCGGCTCCTATTTCAATGAGCCAGCCCTGGCCCGCTCGAGCGACGCCGGCGTGGCGGCCCTGGCTCTCGACCAGAGCGCTGACAAGGATAAGGTAGGCGGTGCTGCTGCTGGCGCCGGTGTGGCTGGTGCGGCTGGTGCGGCTGGTGCGGCTGGTGCAGCTGGGAGCTCGGCAACCAGCAGCAAAGATCCCTCCAGCGGGCGTCTCTTCCTGAGGAAGTTTCTCATGTTCAAGAACATGTTCAGCAGCAACCAGCAGCCGGTGATTCCCATCATCATAACTGGAGGCGGTACTGGCACCGCACCTACCAGCCCCATTACGACACTGACCACCACTGGCACATTACCCACGGCCACGGGCACCATCGACACCTCGCCCACATCGCCCACGACGCCCACATCGCCCACCTCGCCCGTACCCCGACAGTACTACGACCAACAGGCCGACGAGCAGGCCGAGGCCGATGCCGGCGATGACGAGGCCCAGCCAGTGGCCATGGCCGCCAATGCGGAGCTGATCGACGAACAGGCCCTGCAGGCGGCCATCGCGGCGGGCGCCCAGGAGTACGAGGTGTTCACCGATGGCGATCAATCGGATGCCGGCGCCACCGAGAGCAAGGCCAGCCAGAGCAATCGCATCAATTTGCGCCGCAAGGGCGGCCGTCGCGGCCAGGGACAGATGATCAGCGTGCGCATTCCGCCGCGCTACCGTCGCTACTTCAAGAACGGCCAGAAGGTCATGATCAACACCAAGAACAGGCCCAACAGGCGTCGTGTGGTCAGGAAGCGCTACCAGAACAAGAACAAGCGCTTCAACAATCGTCGTCGCGGTGGCAAGAACAAGAACAAGAAGGGCAAGAACAAGAACAAGCGCCCACGTCTGCCACTTGCCTAAGCAGAGACACACAGAGAGAGAGCGAGAGAGGGAGGGGGAGAGAGAAAGAGAGCGCGCTTAACAGCAATCCAGAGTCAAACAACGCCAACGCTCCCCAACGATCAAAAACCACGAGAAACAACAATTTTTTTTTTTCTAATTTATTGTAGCTAATGTTTAATTGAAGCCTCACTTCTTCTTTTGGCCAAAACAGAATAAATGAAATCTTTCGAATAGTACTTGACCCACATTTCCAATTCAATTTCAATACATCGCGGCCTCTTCAGCCAGCCTCCGGCTCTGGCGCCCTGGGGCGCTTGGCTATTTAAGCCTCATGTGGATGCTGCCATCGGACAATAGAGCTCAACATGCGCTGTACTTCACTCTGGTTCTTTGCGATCTTGCTGATCGTGCTGGGCGTCCGATCCAGTGAGGCCCGCTGCGTCTGCGCCACACAGAAGCTGCTGCGGCTGCGCAGCACTGCGACTGCCAGCGGCAATGGGTTTGTCGACGACGATGAGCTTGAGCAGGAGCCGGAGCCACTGCAGCAGCTGGATCTCAGTCAGCTGAGCGAGTCGCAGCTGCAGCAGCTGATGCAGCAGCTGAACCTAGCRTCCGACTACGACGACGACGATCGCGGCATCGGCCGCCCCTGGAAGAAGGTGCAGCGCATCATTAAGCGCCAGCTGGTGCGCATACCCAAGCGCTACCTGAAGAAGCTGCTCAGGCAGTTCGGCTTAGCGCGCGACGGCAGCTTCCGGAACGGAGCACTCCTGGACCCTGAATTTGGGGCAGTGCCAGAGCTATATTACCTAATACCCTTGGAATAAAGCGAAATTATAATAAAGATTCTCTAATAGTTAATAAAATATGGGCAATGGTTATGGCTATGATAATGATGATGATTGAAAAAGACAACGGCAATGACAATGACCAATGACTAATGACTAATGACCAATGACCAATGACCAATGACCAATGACCAATGACCAATGACCAATGACCAATGACCAATGACCAATGACCAATGACCAATGACCAATG